TTTTTTTTTTTTTTTTCTGAGATGGAGTTTCACTCTTGTTGCCCAGGCTAGAGTGCAATGACACGATCTTGGCTCACCACAACTTCCACCTCCCTGGTTCAAGCAATTCTCCTGCCTCAGCCTCCCAAGTAGCTGGGATTGCAGGCATGCACCACCGCACCTGGCTAATTTTGTATTTTTAGTAGAGATGGGCTGGTCTCAAACTCCTGACCTCAGGTGATCCGTCTGCCTTGGCCTCCCAAAGTGCTGAGGTTACAGGCATGAGCCACCACACCCGGCAGATTGGCTCCCGTTGTTGTTAATATTAGGTTTGGGACAGATGAAGAATGGAAGTTCAAATGAGGAAAATGTTTTAGAAGCAACTTATGGCAAGGAAACAGGTCAGGAAATGCAAATGGAGAAAGCCAGATGCGATTCTGTCTCTTCAGGACAGCAGGAAAGCTTTAGAGAACTGGAAGGTTCAGTGAGATGTACAAGTGTCTGAAGCTTCAAGGAAACGCACGACATGGAAGCAACGTTGCAAACACAGCATCCTCAGATTAATTCTGGTTTATGCACTTATTGCCCTTAACTGATGCAATAAACAAACCTGAGTCTGATTCAGAAAGTGATGTCACAGAGATTATTTCCAGTATCCCCCAAACAAGGGGTATTTCCATGGTTTATAAACTTCTACAGGTAAAATCAAATTAAATAAAGCCCTGTATTAAGAAAAAAGAAAGAAAAAGAAACACGTTCAGGCATTATTTATCCTGAAAAGACAACAGGTGTTAACAGGTATTTCCTTACTTACTTTCGCCCTCCCCCCAACAGAGAAAAAAAATTACATAACACCTTGTGTTTATATAAACACATGTCTCCAAGTAGGAGGTAGTGCTATACAAATACCATTTAATCAAACATCACCTTATCACTAAATGTGGGCAATGAAGCATTATTAAAGGGTCATGTTAAATTGAAAGAAAAAACAGCTATAAAATAATAGGAATATTTAGGGATTAAAAAGTCAACCCTTGTGAGTTCAATAAGTTCAAAAAACAGAACTCAAAGGAGGTAATTAAGACTCCATTCTTTCATTATCTACAACATTTAATCTACCTGGAACAACTTATTATCCTCAATCTATTCCTTCCCTCAAAGTCCATAGCAAAGCCATCCTACTTACATATTAGTGTAGCCTTCAGTCATTTTCTTCCCAGTAAGATTAAAGTATCATTTTTCTGAGTTTTTATATTTAACTTTTACCCTACCTGTAGTGTTTAACAAATTATGTCTCTTCTTGGAATTATGTTTATATATGCGCATGGTATCCTCCTATACCAACATGCAATATTTACAGTTATGAACTAAGCTTCACTCTTCCATGTATACCTGTTCCTAGCAAAGATCCTTAAACGAAGTAGGAAGTCTATCATATGTCTTTTATATAACTGAATCTTGGAAACACAGAGATTAGACAAGATGGTTTCTGCAGCCCCATCCAGCTATAAATTCGAAGATGTTACAGCCAGAAGGAATTTATGACGTTCTCTAATTCAATCCATCACTGACCCCAGGCTCAGGGTGAGAAACAGATGCAATCAAGAGCAACCAAATCTCCCAAGTCCAGTCCAGTGCTTCTTGAACACACGATGGCACTTTCCTAAACTGCTGATAATCCAAGGGGAATTGCCACAGGTTTATTCCCTTAAATTCCAAGCCAGGACAGACTCTTAGGATACATCTTCTTGACAGATGATGAGAAAACATTTAGCTTAAATAGCCGTTACTCTGAACATCGCAATGCTGGCCAAAGACTCTTCACCAAGACGGAACCTCCTGCTTGGCACCACTGTAGTGATATTAAAATGTAAGGCATGTGCTGATTCTAGACTGGTGTTTTCAAATGGAAGAAAGTAACTCATTAGGGTCATAAAATCAACTCGGTGGGGCTCCATAAGAATTTTTGTGATGAAATTGAAAAGAAAACATTAGTGTGCATTACATAAAAATCCTATATATGAAAATTTCACTTAACATAATTAAATATTACAGGAACAATACATATTTCATTGACATGTACCTGTATATGCTCTTGTCAATGTAATATGTATTTCTTACTGCTATTTATGTCAGAAAAAAACAAAGTTTGAAAGTCATTAAAGTCTTCAGTGAGCTGTAGAACTGACTGCTACACTATTAACAAGCAGGGAATTCAAAAACAGGTCTTAGAACACTAATCACAGCACCTACGACTTCTGAAGAGTGATCCGGGTCACAGCTGGAAACAATGAGAGACACAGGACCTTAGGATGTCACACTTCCCTCCACCCTCCCCGCTCTTTCTCATGGCGTGGATGTGGACTATCAAGTTCCTGTTTTAGGAGACAGGGTTTTTCTTCTCCTCACCCACTCTTTGCCTCCTCTCTTTCGGAAATAAATTTTTTTAAACAAGAAAACACCAAGAGAAAGGAAGGCGAAGAAATAAAAGGTTTCCGTTTTTGTTTACTTCTTTCTGCCTTTTTCCTTCCTTCTTTTCTTTCTCTCTCTCTCTCTCCTTCCTGTCTTTCCCTACTTTACTCTTTCTCTCTGGCCTCTCTTCTCCCTCCTCTCTCTCTCTCTCCTTCCTATTCTCTCCTCTCCCTCTTCTTTGTCCCGCCTCCTTTTTTTCCCTCCTTCTCTGTTCTCTCTCTTTTCTCCTCTTTCTCCTCTCTCTCTCTCCTTTCTCCTATCTCTCTCTCTCTTTTTCTCATGTCCCTGAGCTCTCTCAGCAGACTTTCAGAATATTTTTTCTTTCCACTTCTCTGGCTAGATGGCTGGGTTTGAGTAATTTTCTTTTTCCTGGAGTTGGTTGCTAAGAGACACTCTATTACTTCCCTTTCTCTTATGACCCGATTACTGTGATCAGCAAAGACGGCGTGCAGACAACATCCTGACATGGTTCATACAAGATCGCTGTGCCTGGTTACAAAATGACTGACTTTCTTAACCCTCTCAGAACTGTCAGACCAAAATTTCCTAAGTCACTTTTCACACAGGTCAAAGGATTTCCCCACCTTCCTTCGAAATGGTGGTTGTGATGGATCAACTGTATCCATCATTATAACGGCCAATAGTCAAACTGAAATACATTTCAGTAAAAGCTCCACACTGCCTCCTTGTTCTTAACATATATTTCTTTTAATTTTAGAGGTAAATAAACATGTCAGAAAATGTTCTGAGTTAATCTCCAGCCTCGATAGGGATAGGGCTCTAAAGGAACCACTAAATGGCTTCTTAGCAAGAGTCCTCCAGCCCTGCTCCTTTTACTGGTGTACACAGCCAAAGCAAAGGTCACCCCTTGTTCACTTCTAACCTGCACAGCTCTTGGCATAATACCTTCAAGGTCCTAGGCACTCAATGGATGTTTGCTAAATGAATAAATGAATTTGTGTTCACACTGAGCTCTCCTTCCCATCCCTTGGGGCTCTTATCCAATCCTCCCATCCACACATTTCCAGAAAAGGAAAAAGAAAAGTTTACAAATTGCTTTTAAAGGTTCTAATGCCCTCAAAACAGACTAGGAATTTAAGCAACAACAACAAAACTAATGTAAAAAAGTAATAAAGATCGTGGATCTTTATCCAGCATATCATCCCTGGGTGATATTATCGTCAAGCATGCTGGAAGAACCAGCCAAACATTCATTTCTTTATTCTATCCTCCTTCCCACCACAAGGATAATCTAGAAGAGCTATTTTTTGAAACATTCTTCTTGCCCTAGGCCAAACTCACACATGATCACCTACGGCATATACACAAAGACCTCTCGGGATCCTCCCAATTCATGGCTGTTTTTATCATTAGAACCTCGTGCCTTCAGCTTAATGCTATGATTTCTATTAAAAATGAAGTCCTTCTGGCAAGGTTCTATTTTGACATACTTTTATCAAAGATTCAGATGACCTCTTTCCTTTTGATAGCTATCTCTGTATATATAGATATAGTAGATATCTATATCTCAGCACATGCAGATTTAACAAATATTTTATATAGACTTTGGAAGTCAGCAAATCAAATACAGTAGAAAGAACATGAAGTTTGGATTTAGAGGTATTTGCATTCAAATGAAAGATTCATTATTTATAAGTCAGGAGACCTTGGCCAACTTATTATCTCTCTGAGCCTTAATTTCATCACTTGAAAAATGGAAATATTAGTATCAAAGTTCAAATAGTATTATGAAGATGATATACCAGATACCTGGCACACAGTAGAAACAAATTAAATGTTAGCTTCCTCATGAACTGCACGCACTTAAAAACACAAATGTGTGTTTTGCTCAGGTGTAGAGAAAAAAATGTGTGAGGATATTAGCTTAGAATGAAAAAACACAGGGTTGTGAGAGGAATATATTGAGGGTGTCCAGACCGGGGCGTCTACGGCCCATGTCGCAACCTAACTAAACTCACCATATTCCATGGGAACAATTTCACCCCACGCACTTCAGGAGTAACCAATTTTATGCAATATCTGTAGTTGAATCATACTTTCGTACAATCTTAGAGCAGGAAGGAAGTGAAGAAACAATATTGTTCAATTACATTGTTTTACAATTGTGGAAACTAATCCAGGGTTGTCTGTTGATTTACATAGGCCTCAAGTATGCAGGGAGTGTCCCTTCCGTTCCCTCTTGCCTCCAGTGAACTCCTGTCTTGTTCAGTGATTGCCATTTTGATTTACTGCCACCTACTTTTCAGTGTGGCTAAGGTAAAATCAGCTTGACTCTGACAGGACTTTTTGGTGTCCCCTTTCATTTGACCATCCCTGCATAACTCTGAGATTATATACATAACAAAATCAGACTTTAAGACACATGCTAGGTCTTAGCTAAAAATCATGGCTCTTTCTTTATACTCTGCCTGGTGCTCCTAAGGTTGAGTTTATTCTTGAAAGCAGCATGTTTGAAGAGGGTTTCACTCTTCCGTGGTGCCCAGCTTTAAACTACACATCTTTCATCGTTCCATTCTCTGTGACGCTAGCTCTGCCTTTCTCCACTTCTGAAAAAAAGCCCAACGAAGGCACTGGTCTATGACCAACAAGTTTCCTGGCTGCTGTTCCAGAGAATAAAAAATTCTTGGTAGTTCTCAAAATAGGCACAGTTTCTCAGATGTGTTTTCAACCTTGGGCTGACTGTTTTCTAGGGTAAGAGGCAGTAATTCCAGATGACAACACTTTCACACAGGTTCATTTTTATCTGAACCATATAGACAAAGCTGCATGAGATAAGCTGCTTAGGAATACTATAAATTACCATTAGCAAAATATGATACCTCAAAAGTCCCTATATTTAAGAAAACTGTGGCTGTAACTCTCTAAAAAGAGTTAAATTATTTGAAAACCAAGAAATCCAAAGGAAAAAAACAGTTAACTATGTATAATGATTCGATGAATGGAAAGAAAAATTCTGAAACAAATAAATTCTATATACCAAAAAAACACAGCAAAAAAAATCTCAATGTTGAGCTGGGTGAGGAAGACTTAACAGCATCAGTGATGGTATAAAGCGTTTTCAACTTTACTGAACTTGGCCTTACCAGTGGGCTTT